AATTAATTTAAGGCAATGGATCTAAGCATTTTCTAATAATTTAAGGAATTGGGCTTACGTGTTGATTTATCACTTGATACATGACACAAATCTAGTGACTTAAAGCAACATGCACTCAGTTTCTGTGGGCCAGTAATTTGGGTACAGTTTAACAGAGCCAGCAACTCATTACCTTATATAAGCTAATTTTGACATGACTTCCCATCAACTTTGCTATATGGTATTCTATAGACTAGAAGCAAGTTACAGGTCCTGCTCATATTCAAGAGGAGGAGATTACCCAAGAGCAGAAATACCAGGAGGTAGGGATCCTTGAAGAACCCCTTAGAAGTTTCCCACCATACTGGAAAATAGTTCTTCAATATGTTCAATGTTGCAAGTTTTCATTGAATGATATAGCTTTTTCATATTTGCACAGAAAGAAAGATTCATGATACTCTAGATACCTATAATGATCTGGATACTTATATGCTCTGTCACAATCTTCTTTTGTATTTTTGTAGCATTCTCTGTCCATAGAGATTTTGGGACAGTAGCTATTTCTTAAGTTTTACAAGTACACAGTACAGGTATAGATATTTTTATTTCAAGGAGCCATTATATAATTTGATCATGTATAAGAACTACTGTTCATTTTTCTTGGGAACAAATCCTATCTATTGAATGTGGAAAGGAGATTATCACAGAAAATAAAGAAATATTCACCAGGTGTGGTGGCGCACGCCTGTAATCCCAACACTCAGGAGGCTTTGGCAGGAGGATAGCTATAAGTTCAAGACTAGCCTGGGCTACATAGTGAGTTTCAGGTCAGTCTCAACTACATAGTGAGACCCTGTCTCAAAAAAAAAAAAATTCTTTCAGTAATCTTGAAGTATCAGTTATAAGTTGAGACATAGGATTATTTTCTCTGTTTGTATAGTTTTAATAAACCAACCTATCTGATACTCTATTAATAATAGCAAAATAGAATGCTACCCTTGGCAGAAATATTGTTTCCCTTGGGATTTCAAAGGAAGAACAGGGAATTCATGGTGTTGGCATCTCCAGAGAAGCAAGTCATTGGACAGATTTTGAGTAGTTGTCCTGCTGGGTTTGGGCCAATGCTCTTTAAATAACACTTCTTTTGCAGTATCTAAAGATGGCATTATCTCTAGGTTCCCTATCTATAGGAAATAGAAGCTATTTCAATTGGTTTAATCCAAAGATTCACAATCATATTGATTTAGATAGCTTATTTACTTTTAAATATCTAGTGAAATATCATATTATTATTATTATTGTTGGTAGTAGTAGTAGTAGTAGTAGTAGTAGTATTTTGGTATTGGGGATTGAACTAGGGACCATGTGCTTGTGAGGCAGGAGGCAGCACCACTGAGCTAAATCCCTGGCATAAATAAATATTTTTAAATTATAGTTTTATCTTTTAATATCTTTTATTCCACTAATTCAGACCTCAGCCCATGCACAGAAGAGAACATGTTCTTCTATATTAGTTGGTGAGTCAACTCCAAAGCTATTTGAAAGTTTCCTTAAGTTTACCTTTTGTCTTTATTTAGTTTACAATTTTGGATATTTATACAAGGAAAAGCCTTTGAAAATGCCTTATATAATAGTATGTTCTAGTTTATAGAATATAGCAAAGTTGATGAAATTTTAAAATTTTAATATTGGTGGATTATTCATATCTTTTCTCTTTTCTGTTTTTGAATAATTAATGTAATTAACTGGGACAGATTTGTAGTGCAGGATACTACCAAATAAAAATATCGAATGCGATAGCATATAATTTGACCTGTATTCCCAAAGTTTAGGGAAATCATTAAATACAGCTCTTAATTTGACTTTAGACTAGGATTTTAATACAAATTCTATGCATCTGACTTAGATTTAGAAATGTTAAAAAGTAGTATTCTTTTATAAAGAACCCTCTGAGGACAGAGAAGTTCATTTAGAAAGTCAGGCAAAGTTATCATACAAAATGAGAGGAATGGAAACAGTAATTTTTAGGAAGTTACAAAAGCCTGAATAAATGCTGCATTTGAATTTGGTATTTTTTAAAAGCCTTGGTATGCCAATTAAAAGAGCTAACTATTGACCATTTTGCATTTTATCTCCTTTTTTTTCTTTTTGGTACTGGGTGTCAAACTTGGGTCCTTGCACTTCCAAGGCAGGAGCCAGAACCACTGAGCTAAATCCTGAGCCCTTTATCTCCTAATTTCCTAATTTGTCTAGAACACAAATATATATATTTATTTTGTCAAAAGTTCACTAAATGGGCATTGTTATTCTACATCTATCAATTTATCTACCTACCTATCATCTGTGTATCATCTATCCAGGTTTTATCAGAGAAAGAAAAAGATTTAAGGTTAGGCCAGGTGTGATGACACACACCTATAATCCCAAGATTCAGGAGGCTGAGGCAGGAGGATAGTTGCATGTTTGAAGCAAGTCTGGCCTACATATTAAGTTTGAGGGTAGCCTGAACTACATAGTAGGATTCTGTTTCAAACAAAAGATTATAGTGAGACTTCATATTTCAAGCAGAAGTTCCTCCAGGAAGAGGAAGAAGCTCGCAAAGACGAACCCCTGACATGGAAGAACAAAGCCAGCCAAAGCGTATGTTTATGAATAGTGTCTTAGATTCCCAAAAGAAAACGATCACAGGAAGATACCACAAAATCACCAAACATTCACCTTTCACAGTGTTAAAACATAAGAAGTAAACTCAGAGATTTTCTAAAGGACCTTTTTATAAACTGGTCACCACTTCAACAGATCTCCCTGTTTCCCTCCAAACCATGATACCCTGGGCCAGCTTGGATGGGACACAGCTCAGGCCTCCGTCTCATCTCAGTGGCCCATTTCTTTATACAATGAACAGAAACAGATAAAACCAAATCCAACCTGACAAAGCACAGGAAATACATTTGTATAGATACACACACACACACACACACACACACACACACACACACACACAAAATAACAGAAGAATACCCAGATATGGGAAAAACTATTTAGCAAATGGTGTAAATCTAATGCAAAATGTTTGTTGACTTTATAAAATAATCATGTCTAGTTGGTAAATGGAGGACCTCAAAATCGAGGATTGTAATAAATATAAAGATAGGCTAATTACTTTACATGAAGACTTAAGTTTAAAGACTCATATACAAAGGCAAGCACAATTACCAATCCTCGGATATTTAAATAAATTCAGCAAAAGGAGCTCAGCAAAATTAACCAGGGCTAGAGCACTGTGGAGACTGACTCATGTGTTACATGAGGGTTGAACAGAGTTTGCACTGGAGGAGCCCAGGGAGCCTGCTGGCCACAACATCTCCAGAAATACTATGATGAAGTTTTTCTAATGATCTTGGTGAAATCTGTAGAGATCTGAAAGATGGTGAGACTAAATGCAGTCAGCTTACTGGTTATGTATCTGTGGTTCAAAAACTACAGATGAAAAATATTAAGGAGAAGTGCTTTATTTTTAATAACCTGCCTATGTAGTTAGGACTATGATCACTGTGTCTGTACCCAACACAGGCGGACTTTTTTCCTAAACAATACCGTGCAACAACTATCTACACTGTATTAGATAGGATAAGTAATCAGAGGTGATTAAAAGCATGCAAAAGGACCTGTGTAGGTTATACACAAATATCATGCCATTGTATAGGAGAGCCTGAGCACCTTCAGATTTGGGGACCAGTGCCAGTCAGGTACTGAAACCAATCTCCCATGGGTACTGAGGAACAACAGTGTGTGAAATTGAAACAAAAACAAAATATGAAAGTTGAATGTATTGCTTACTAGCACAAGGGATGGTTGTGTTCCATCTATGTTCTCTGAGCAGAAAAAGCTGTTCCTCTTGCAGGAGGTTTTCAGAGTGTGAGGTTTACGGATTGATAAGCTTTCAGATCATGGGCTGCATGACAACATCAATGGAACTGTGATACTCCATGAGTCCACAGTTGACGGCTGGCACTCAGTAACTGAGGTGAGATGTGACAGCTGACACTTACTGGTTGGCACGCACTCACAAATACCCTTCTGAGAAGGATTATTGTTAGCTGACTGAACAGGCTTCAAACCCATTCTGGTGGTTCCTTGCTGTTAGAGCTATGGAACAATGAGTCCTCCTAAATTTTTGGAAATGCTTTTACTCTCACAATTTGGGAAATACTGGCTCAGATCAAATGCAAAATCCTGTGAAGAGGTTGTCTCCAGAGCCTGAAGAGTTTTTCTCTCACTCTGAAACACAAAATAGATTTTAGTCTACAGTTAGAGGGAAAACAGAAGCGAGGTGTTTAGGAACACAATACTAGTCTCCTTTCAAGAGATGAGTGAGGAGAGATTCTCTTCTTCTTTGGTGTTAGAAGCCCCTATGAGAAACCACCAACCCAAAGGCCTGCATGGCTAGATGCAGATAACAGATGACTGCAGGGATTTGAAGTGTAATATAGATTATGTTGTGAACAGGGGACTACTGAATCCTCTACACAAGGAAAATTAAAATTACACTGAAAATCCTGTGCTGGCCAAAAAATACACGTCTAAGAATTGTACTTGCTTATGGACAATGGCTGTGTAATTTATTTCATTCTAACTTGTTCTATTACTTGATGATACATAACCTTTATTGGAAATGCAGGGACTCTCTCTCTCTCTTTCCCTCCCTCCCTCCCTCTCTTTCTCTTAAAATATAGAACTAAATTCCATCTATAGAGTAACATCTATTGCTAATGCTGATGTTGAAAGAAAAGAACTTTCACGTTCAACTGTGTCTCACATGAGACTTTTAATGAGATGAGGTTTGGGGACAAACAGGAACGTCCAGGAGGGCGATGGGGCACCTTTGACTGTGTAATTCTGAACATCACGAAGGTTGTGGCTGTAGCTTTGTTCCCGGTAACTAGCAAGCACTTTTATTGTTTGTTATTGTTGCTTAGCAAGCATCTCAGATTCATGTTAAACGGTTTTTCTCATTACAGGCTGTGAGCCCATTCCCGTGCGCTATCTTGAATGGAGCAACATAGAATCTATTATCGCCATTGCCTTTTCCTGCCTGGGCATCCTTGTCACCCTGTTTGTCACACTCATCTTTGTACTGTACCGAGACACACCTGTGGTGAAATCCTCCAGTCGAGAACTCTGCTACATCATCCTAGCTGGCATCTTCCTGGGGTACGTGTGCCCTTTCACTCTCATCGCCAAACCCACGACCACGTCCTGCTACCTCCAGCGGCTGCTAGTCGGCCTCTCCTCTGCCATGTGCTACTCGGCGTTAGTGACCAAGACCAATCGCATTGCTCGCATCCTGGCTGGCAGCAAGAAGAAAATCTGCACCCGGAAGCCCAGGTTCATGAGTGCCTGGGCCCAGGTCATCATTGCCTCCATTCTGATCAGCGTGCAGCTGACCCTGGTGGTAACCTTGATCATCATGGAGCCCCCCATGCCCATCCTGTCCTACCCGAGTATCAAGGAAGTCTATCTCATCTGCAACACCAGCAACTTGGGTGTGGTGGCCCCTGTGGGCTACAACGGGCTCCTCATTATGAGCTGTACTTACTATGCCTTCAAGACCCGCAACGTGCCCGCCAACTTCAACGAGGCCAAATATATTGCCTTCACCATGTATACCACCTGCATCATCTGGCTCGCTTTTGTGCCCATTTACTTTGGGAGCAACTACAAGATCATCACAACTTGCTTTGCAGTGAGCCTCAGTGTAACAGTGGCCCTGGGGTGCATGTTCACTCCCAAGATGTACATCATCATCGCCAAGCCGGAGAGGAACGTCCGCAGTGCCTTCACCACCTCTGACGTCGTCCGCATGCACGTTGGCGATGGCAAGCTGCCCTGCCGCTCCAACACCTTCCTCAACATTTTCCGAAGAAAGAAGCCAGGGGCAGGGAATGCCAAGTGAGTTATCCGCCTGGGTTTGTCTCTCTTCCTCTTTCGCTCCTGCATCCTTTCCTCCTTTCTCTTCTTCCTCCTCTCCCGCCCCCATACCGCTCTCCCCTTCTCCCTCTCCTCATCCCTCCTCCCATTCTCTTCCTCCTTCCTCTGTCTTCCGTTTGCTAAATTGTTTACCTCACCTTCCTCAAAATTGTTCTCGTCCCTTCTTAACTTTCCCTTTTCCAAATCTCATGCCATATTGCAGTAGGATGGTACAACTAAACGTACTCTTTGCATCCCCTTGAAAGAGCAAGGAACCTGAAGCAGCAATGAGCTATGTATATCCTTATTTTTATCTGGAAGCTCAGACTTCATTTCTGCAGGATTTTTTCTTTTTTATGTGGGTTCTTCCTCTAAAGAGGATCCACCCACCTCTGGGGTCCAGGTCAGTGATTCAAGCGCTATTTGTAATTTATAGTTTAGACTAAGGTTGAAAATATCTTCTGGTTTACTTCTGTCATCCTGGAACCACACCATTGCTAACATGGAGTAGAGGACAAGGAAATGTAACAGTTGGGGTGAAATTGCAATTTCAAAACTGGGTCGCAGCTGTGCAGCAAGCTCACCCTGAAATCAGACCTCTTAAGCACACTGTCAGAGCTGTCTTATTTGTTAAACTTTAAATGGTGCTGTAATGAAGATGTTCTACAACACTGCATATGGATTGGGCCATCTCTACCACTAGGTTACGTTCTGAATGATTTCTTACTCACAAAGCACCCAGAAAAATAAGGAAACAGGTAATAATGATGAGCCCCAAACTAGAGAGTCAGTGTAAGCTTCAAAGCCCAGATGATTTTTCCTGTGGTCTTTCTTCCGATCAGTTGGTGTAATAAACAGTTCCCGATTTTTTTCTGATTGTGTTTTAAGAAGAATGAGTTAAACGTTTTCCTGTTGCTGCCTAAGGCCCAAGAAAACAAATTTAATGTTATATTCACAATTTTTAAAATGACACAGAGGTTACATTGAAGTTCTAAAGTAATTGAACTATTCAAAAATTAGGGAGGTTTTCTCATTAGGATTGATTTTACTGTTTAAAATAATTATTTAAAAATGAAAAATTTTAAGAATAACAATTATAATACATAGTGTGTGTGTGTGTGTGTGTGTGTGTTCTCAGGGTTGAGCAAGCACACACACACACACATATATGTGTTGAGTTTTTCATGTAAGGTAAACCATGGAATATTTAACCTTTTGTGAGTGTGTTATTTCACTTAACATTATGGTTTCAAGGTGTACCAATTTCCCTACAAATGACTCAAGTTTTCCCTCCTTTATGGCAACATAGTACCCCATTGTATATAAATACCACATTTTCTTTATCCATTCACCTGTTGATGGATATTTAGGCTGTTTCTAAGATTTGTCTATTAATAATTGTGCTC